GATGGGAAGCCTAGGGGACAGTGAGTTGAAGATAATGGTGATGGAATAATTTGGAAAAGGATAGTGAGAATAGCAGCACAACTAGAAGAATGTAATCAATGTCCCTGAATTGTACATGTAGAAACTTTCAAAATGGTGTAACTTTGGCTATGTATATTTTCACCAAAAAAAGGTCCTCAAGGTCAAGAAAGGAGCGTGTTGACTTGTCATGGGGTTGTTAACCAATGTCAAAAAACAACATGTGTACTGACTGTTTAATGAGGAACTATTCTGTAAACCTTCATCTAAAGAACAATAACAACAATTTTTTTTAAAAAAAAAAAGGTTGGCAGTTCAAATCCGCCAGGTGCTCCTTGGAAACCCTGTGGGGCAGTCTGCTCTGTCCTATAGGGTCGCTATGAATTAGAATTGACTTGATGGCAATGAGTTCTGGTTTTTTATTCAAAAACATCAGAAATTAGTAAACTAAGGAATTAAAGGGAGTCTTGTAACAAAAGCCAGGACTTCCAAGTCTCATCATGTAAGCAAGTTAATTGATTAAGGCAGTATTAAGATAAGGTTATCATTGTTGAAGACCTGTACGTTTGAAACAAAGATGTCCCTGCTAGTTGCTGGAAATGAGTTCAAGGCTTTACAAATTGGAATACAGAATCAATTTTCTAGACAATATTATAAATGTCTGGCCGTTCACTGGCTCTGTGACCTTAGGCACAGAGTCTCACTCTGCCTGTTTTCTCTGTCAGTGGCTCAGCTACAGGGAACAGAATGAGCGAAGAACTAGTGGCACAAAAGCATTCAGAGCCCTCTGGGAATACCAAACATTTTAATTTGGCCACGGAGAAAAGACAAAAAGCTGGAAAGTCTGTTTTAAACTGAGGGGCTTCCATTTACTTGGCAGGCAACTGGAGGTTTATTTGAGTTGGAGAATTATGGGATAGAAACTTTATTTTTGAAAGATTATTTTAGTTATAAAATTAATGTATTGATTGCAGTACAGAAAGGCAGACGGTGGGGAAATAAGTTAGAATATTATAGCAGCTTACCAGCCCAAATACATAGAGTTGTACAGATGAAAGATTACTACCATGATTTTATTTAATATGCAATCAAAGATGCTAACGAGACAATTTACAAACAAAAAACTAAGAAAATACGTTATGCAAAGATATACAGCCTTACTAGCAGTTAAAGAAATGTGAAATAAAATAACTTTAAGTAACTGTATATAACTCATGGTTTAAAAAATTAATAATATGGCACACTGTTAGCAAGACTATGAAGGGGAAAGGGTACTTATATACTGCCAATGGCAGTGCAAATTAATTCAGCCTTTCCAGAGAGCAAGCTAGCAACGAAGATACTATTTTTATCCAATAATTCCAGCCTGAGGAGACACACAAATAAAATACCCACCCCCTCTACAAAAAAACCTTGTTTGTATTAAAATGTTCCCAGCGGTGCATCCACGAAACTAAAAATGGAAAGCAATGTAAATGCCCACTGATACTAAATTATTAGACAATGATAAATTAACATGCTAGGCTTAATGGTCGTTTAGAATGACAAATATGTGGAGTCAACAAATTCATTCAACATTCAATAAACATTTATTGAGTGCCTACTATGTGCCAGGCAAGATGGGTCTAGGTGCTGAAGATAAGTCAAAGAACAAAACAGAGCAAAATTCCCATTCTCATTGAGCTCAATTCTAATGTCAAATATATGGAAATACACCTGCAGAAAAATGGTAATTGAAAAACGCTGAATACACAACGACAGAGATTATATTGCTACAGAAAATGTATAAGTGCACTGATGGACAGAAGTGATTTAGAAGCAATAGTGTTTAATGTTCATTTAATTCTTTTTGTAAAGTGGTATAAGTTAATTGCATTAAAAAATTTAATATTTTGAAATGCAAAAAAAAATGTTTTTTTATTCTAGCCAGGAATATCCAACAACTTATTACAGTAATTATTTATTATGATATAATATTATATAATTTATTATTGTTGTTAATTTATTCTAACATTAACATAGCAGCTGCTTCTAGGCTAATGGAGGACCCTAACAAGTTAGCAGGCCATCAGTATGACGTCATGTGTGCCGACAGGGAGAAGAGCGTAGAGGCCTTAATCTCGTGAGCCTGGGGCCATAACAGGAGATGAGCAACAAGTTTACATACAATGAAATAAAGAAACACACACCACAGCAGCCACTGCATGAACAGAACCATGTGCCACACTTGATGGACCTGCAGTCTAATAGGACATTCATCTATGTCTGCATTTAAACCAAATGGGATCGAATATAAAATAAAAATAAAACACTGCAAAAAAAGTAAATAAAATGTTTTGATGGTGTGTGCTTTTCTCTCCTATTTCAGACGCTTCCAGAAGCCAATGGGTTTTGAGACACGTTCATTGGTAAAATACTCATCACAGGCACTGCTTGGTGAGTCTGACATTTCAGCATGGCAAACATCGCCCTCCGGAACCTACGATAAAGAAGAGGAAATCTGGCATCATCTTACAATGACTTGGAACTCTTAAAACATTTTCAAATATGAATAAGGTGCCACTAGTACAACCGACATCTACAAAATAAATGTCCGCCTCCGATTTTAACATCTTCATTAGAGTGTGAGGCCTTTCTTCCAAGGCACCTCTGTGTGGATTCAAACCGCCAACCTTTTGGTTAGTAGTTCAGTGCTTTAACTGTTTGTGTCACTCAGAGACTCCCTCCCAACCTTTACAAAAGTATAAGGTAAATGGTACAGCTAAAGATCAATTTTGTACTATTGCTTATAAACATTGACGACTTCCAACAATAGTCCAATAATTACGTGCATTTAAAATGACACTTCTAATGTCAGCTGCAATTTTTTTTTTTTTTATCTAAGGATATGTATTTCATACCTCTGTTGGAATCGATTCAACGGCAATGGGTATGGGTTGTTCTGAGCAAAGGCCAGCCGAAATTAAGGGGGTTTGAGAAAAACTGACAAACGCAAAAGAACTACTAACAGGCTCTGAATTTAAAATATGTTCTTTATTCTTCATCCTTGGTCTGTTTGGTCTTAAAACTTTTGTTCTTCACCTCTCATATCTGTAGCTAAAGCTGATCTCCAAACATGTGCATAAATACACAAGTTTTTAAAAAAGCAGTTTGGCATTTCAGGTTCAAATTACCTAACCTCTATTACATTTTCTGGCCAAATATTTAAGCACAGTAGATAGATTCATTCCATTTTTCCAGCAATAAAAGGAAATGAAAGAATGTCATCTCCACTGAGGAAGCAGGAGAGGAAATCCTTGCTGAGTCCAAAAATCAGAGGGAGAGGGGGATTCTTTATTATCCTGAATAACTACTGATTCCTGGAACCCTTTATGTTAGCACTGGATTTTTCTCTTGTACTTGGGTGATAAATTTTCTTTCTGGTAAATATATAACTGTGCTACCCACATAGGGAGCACAACACTGCCTTGTCCATTTTCCAGTAATAGAACTGCTCTATCTTTTGGAAAAGCTCCCTAGATAGCACAGTTTGTACTGGATTGCTAAACTAAAGGTTGGTGGTTCGAACCTACCCAGTGGTGCTGCATAAGAAAGGTCCTGGTGCTCTGCTTTCACTAAGATTACAGCCAAGAAAACCCTATAGGGCAGTTCTACTCTGTAACGTATGGATTCACCATGAGTCAGCAACAACAACATCTTTTGGAAAACCCATTCCATATATTTTGGGTGGAGTAAGGGTGATACAAATGGTTAATGTGCTTGACTGCTAACCAAAAGGTTGGAGGTTCCAGTCCATCCATAGACACCTTGGAAGAAAGGACGGGTGATCTAGTTCCAGAAAATCAGCCATTGAAAACCTAGTTCTACTCTAGCACACATGGGGTCACCGTGAGTTGGAATCTATTCAACGGCAACTGGCTAGCCATGTGAATCAAGTTGAACTGACCAGGGACCTCGTGGGGACTTTTCCGCAAAACAGCCGTCTGAGCTGAAGCTCGCATTTGGAATTGCTTCAGAACTTGGGTCTTGGATTATCCATGATCATCTCTGCCACCACGTGGGAAAGCCTGTTACCAAACTAGAGATGTAAGCATTTCAGGTCCCAAAGGCTGCTGTATTTTTCAGTTGCATGAACCAAACATCCTTTTTGTTTACACTAGTTTGAAGTGAATTTCTACCACTTACCTCTGCAGAAGTCTTAGAACATTATCCATTGTCTTTTAACATTCTTGTATCAATTTGTTTATTCAGAAAGCCTTTTAGACATTACTTACTTTTTATTAGCAACCGCATAAATACAGGGATTGTAGAATGTAGAAGACTTTGCGAACAGTGGAGCTATGATGGCCACAGAGGGTGGAATCTTCTTTGGGTCACCAAAAGAAGCCCATAAGCACACAATGGAATAAGGGGACCAAGCCACCAGAAACATTAGTATCATTATCACAGACATCTGTAAAAGAAATAAATATTCACCAAACCCAGTATTTAAAATAGCATGGAAAACTATCTATATTGGAATTGGAACAGGTCTATGTTGTTAGTGACATGAAAGAAATAGCTAAGTTTTTCCCTCGATGTATTTTGCTTAGGTGCATGAAGCCACCTATGATAACAAGAGCTTGTGTAATGAATATATCGATCAATAAACTGCATCGTTTTTAAGAAAGTTACACAAATGTAAAGAATAGCTTCTTTATTTTGGTGTGTCAGGGGACTGAAGTGTCAGGAAAGGATACAAAAGCTGGCTTTCATGAGAGGCAGATGAAAATCCATTTCTAACCCACTTCTCATAACTGTGCTATGAGCTGCTGGCATTGCTTTTTCTCACTGTCATTATCTGCAAGTCTGAAAAATAACTTTCTAAACTCAAACTGGAAGAAAAAGAAAATGCTGTGTTGAGCTCAGTGAATTCTAACACAGTACATTTGTACTGGATATAGGATATGTATAGTGCAGATATTTTTGTCAAGGAGCTCCGTTATATCTTTTTTAAATGGAAAAGTAAACCCTTTACATTGCTCCCTTCTGATCACACACTAACCACACTAAAATGATGAAAAAAAGATTTTAAAAAGACAAAAACCCCTAAGGACAGAGAATCAGTGATTGGACACTAGATTTTTTTTTTTTTAATGGAAACTGAATAACAATTGGACAAGTAACAGATGACTTGAGAACGATTTAAGGGAAAAAAAGGAAAAGAAAAAAGCCAGACAGCAGTGAGGGAAAACCAGATACAGACTAATTCATTCCACCGAATTCCAGAAAGTCTCGGAAATTGGAGGTAAGAGATAACTGAACGGAGGCACGCACAGGGAACTGAAAACTGGAGAACGGGTTGACAATCTGCAAAAAGAAGAAGCTAGGTTTCCGAATGCCCTCGCCACTCAGCCAAGCAAGTGCCCTTTCCTCTCCCTGAAAGAGCCCCAGAGATGCGGTCTAGCAGAGGTTAAAGCAGGGAAACTCAGGACTGGGGGACTCAGCTGGGTGCTGGCGTACTGCACTGCAAAGAGGGATACTTCATGCTGCTCCCCGCTCTGAGCCCCAGGAATACTGGTAGACAGACGTATACCTCCCAGACAGGAATGGGAAACAATCTTCCCCTTGGAAATGGACCAGTCCAGAAGAAAATACCTAGAAATACAGATGGCTGGAGATTCTCCAGTATAAACAGCTAAAGAGCACCACCTCCGGAGCTTATGATCAGCTTTTTAGTGCACCGTTCTTAAATCTGAGGGGACAGGCATTGACCACCAGCTATTGAGAAAACAAACTGACAGAGACCAGAGCAGTGCAGGAGTTCCAGGGAAACAGAAAAGATATAGTGAACAAAAAGAAATGTAAGTAAATATACATATGTATGTAATGTAAATAAATGTGCATTTATTACTTATATACTTATATATATAATATGTAAATATATGTGTTCATCATCACAAAATAAGAGAAGATACATATCCGTAGGGGTCCCTAGGTGGCGCTAACGGTCTGAGCTCAACTACTAATCTAAAAGTTGGCAGTTCAAACCCACCCAGCACTACCATGGTAATCTGAAAAGTCCTGGTAATCTGCTTATGTAAAGATTACAGCCAAGAAATCTCTACGGAACACACAGTTCTACTCTGAAACAAGTGGGATTGCCGTGAGTCTGAATCAACTCGACAGCAACTGGTTGTTTTTTTTAATACATCCGTAAAACAAGAAGAGGAGGCTATTTAAAAAGGAGCTTACGGTATAAAATAACTCCTTTAGCTATAAAAAATAGTTTTTATCATACCTATAAAAGTAATACCAGAAATGTTTAAAATGCAATAGAAAAGTTGAAAGACGTAGTCAGGGCTGAGATGAGTGTGAGGCAGGTGAGTAAGTCTTCAAGTGCAGGGTCCAATGCTGTCTTTATTTAAAATTTTATATTTTATATTTTGTTCATCATGGATTTTTTTAAATTTATTTTCAATTTTTTTAAATATTGCATTAAAATATTGCATTTCTTGATTACTCAGTTTTTTGGTGCCCCCTTAAATTTTGCACCCAAGGTGAGGGTCTCACTCTCTTCATCCTAGTCCCAGCCCTGGATATGGCTGGAGAAATCTGCCAGAAAGCAGGATTTAAAAAAGAGAGAGAGGAAATAGAAGACAAAATTTAAGAAAATTAGAAGACAAATCCAGGAGATCAAGTATCCAAATAAAAGGTGTTCCAGGGAGAGAAAACAGAGCGGAGGGAATCCCAAGAAAAATAATACAAGAGCTCTCCCAGAGGTGGACAACATGAGCCTCCTCACTGAAAGCACTCACCCAGTACCCAGCAGGTGGATATATAAAGACCCACACCGGGCATATCAGTGTGAACTTTCAGAAAAGGGGACAGAGAGAGAAGGTCCTACAAGCTCCCAGAGAGACCACACAGATCCCTACAAAGAATGTCATCAGAATGCCATCAGCCTTCACAATAGCAATACTAGAAGCTAGGAAACTATAAAGCCTTCAAAATTCTTTGAAAATCATTTCTACCTAGAATTCTATACATGGTAAACTATCAGTCAAATTTGACAGTAGAATTAAGACATTTTCAGGCATGCAAAGTCTTAAAAAATTTAACTCCCTTGTATCCTTCCTGGAGCCCTAGTGGTGCAGTAGTTAAGAGCTCAGCTGCTAACCAAAAGGTCAGCAGTTATAATCAACCAGCTGCTCCTGGGAAATTCTATGGGGCAGTTCTACTCTGTCCTATAGGTTCACTGTGAGTCGGAATAGACTCAGTGGCACCAGCTTTGGTGTTTGGTTGGTTGTATCTTTCTCAGGAATCTGCTGGAGAATGTGCTCCACCAAATCAGAGGGAATATATCAAGAAAAAAGGAAAATATGCAATCAAGAAAATAGAGGATCTGACCCAGCACAAAAGCCAAGGGCACTTCCAGAGGTGATGGTTTGCGCTCAACTACTAACCAAAAGGTTGGCAGTTCAAACCCACCCAGCAGCACCATGGAAGAAAGACCTGGTGCTCTGCTTCTGTGAAGATTACAACGAAGAAAACCTTATAGAACAGTTCTCCTCTGTAACACACAGTGTTGCCATGAGTCGGAATCAGCTCGATGACACTGGGTTTGGTTTTTTTTTGTTTTTTTGGTTGATTGTTTTGTTTTCTGATGAAGGGAGATCTGAGAATGACAGCTTTCTGGGCAGTAGTCCTAGAGAACAGCCAGTCCAGAGTAGAGTAAGGGGCTGGAGAGTGCCAGGAGGGGTAGCTCCAAGAAAAGGGTAAAATGAATCTATTCCCTAATGTGTCTGAACATACTGAGAGGAGACTGACACTTCCAGGGGAGAGTTTAGGGATGAATTAGTGACAGGTAAACAGAACAGTAAGCAAACAAAACTACAGAAAAAAAAAGGGGGGGGGGGGTAAATAAATGAATGAATGATTAACTCCAAAGAAAAAAGTTGAATAAAAAAAGAAATGTGAATCACTGTACCCTACAGATACCTGCAGAAAATAAAATTTATATAGTCACGATAATGTAAACATTAACTCTAAATATACTCAGATATTGTTATCATTATACTGACAGGATGGGGAGAAAGAAAGATGGGGGGAGAAGAAGGGAAGTTTAGTGATATAAGAGAAACAAATCTTCATCTTCCACAGTAGGAAATCAAACCAAAAAATCCAAAAGAACAAATAAGCATATCATTTAGAAACGTGGAGGTAAACACCAGAAGAAAGAGCAGGAGAGGGAGGATTGGAGATGGGGGGAGGTGACTGCTGTGAGGCAAGGGACTCTTACTACGTGTGTGTAAAAGCTTGATTACCAACACTGTTTTAAGGACTTGGACTTCTTACCTTTGTTACATCTAACTGATCTGACCAGTCCCTGTTGAGGTACTCAGCACAGTTACTAGCAGAATGATGTTTAATAGATTGAGTGACGTGATAATAGCAGTAAAACATCACTGCTAGGGGCACAACAAAATTCATCGCAATAACTGTCATCGTGTAAGAAACGAAAGATCTGAAAATAAGAAAAAGCAATTATAACTACTCATTTAATATCCTAAATAGGGGGATGGGAAAGAGGAGACAATAATTAGAAATAATACTGGCATTGTCCTGCAGTCATATTATTAAATATCTTAGGACGTATAGTTGACTTTTAGTTCATTTAGACCAGGAGTTGGTAAACTATGGCCTCAGGCTAAAACCAGCCTGCCACTTGTCTTTGTAAATAAAGTTTTATTGGAACACAGCCACACATTCATTTACATATTATCTATGGCTGCTTTCACAGTACAGTGGCAGAGTTGAATAGTTGTGTCGAAGACTGTCTAACCTGTGAAGTCTAAAATATTTACATTTTGACCCTTTACAGAAAAAGTTCTAGAATTTATATTTAGAAATTTCTATTTGTTTTTCTGAGTAATCTTGTTTTCTTTAATGAACTGAATTAATGTCTCTCCCCAGGGAAATACAGAAGAGCCTCACCAACTACCATGCGTATCCTTGCAGGTACTGTGCTTTGGCTGCGTAATTCCCGTAAAATGCTTTCTCACCAGACCTTCTTCAAAAGATGTATCAGCCTGGACTGTCACCAGAGCTGAATGCTGTCTTGCTCCACTAACAGTCCCTTTTCCCACTCTAGGTGCTACCTCTGAGATGTACAAATACTGTAAGGGTGATTTGTACCCTTCATTGCTGCCTCAGGAAGGGACAGAGGAGAGAGAGGAAGGGACAGAGTAAGGGGGAGAGACGGAGCTGGGTGACCTTCACTTGCAAAGAAGCGTAATTCATTTTCTCAGTTTTGTTTCTGCTTGAATCACATCATCACTACCAGGGAAGCCCTCTGCCACACTCTGTATGAGAAACATGTGATCTGAGCTTAAATGTGAAATGGTGAAAAAATGTCTACATTAGTAGCATTTGATTTTAAAGTGTAAACGTGTCTCTTACACATCGTTTTTCCGCCAGTTTATGGTACAGGTGGCACCAGTAGGATCTGGGGCATAACTCGCCCACCCTGTGATAGGCAACAAAGCCCAAAGCAAGCCATTGATCCAGGCCCCCAGGATCATGCCGACGTATGTGTTAGAGGTCATTCTTCTTCCTATCGACAAGCATATGAAATATTAGCATCATTTGCCAATGACGGGATCCATACCTTCACTTTGTTTTAACCGATGATTTAAAGTTATCAAGGAGATTCTTTACAGAACACTTTCAGTCGCTCAAAGCCTAGCTACATGAATTTACATTCTGAAAAAAATGACATGTAAGCTGAAGCCTGAATGATAAAAAGGATCAGCCAGAGAATTAACAGGGGAAGAGCTTTCCAGGTACAGGGAACAGCATGTACAAAGGTCCCGAAGTGAGAGAGCCTGGCCAGTCCCCCAAAGTGAGAACAGCTCCAGCCAAAGCTGGAAAGGTAGACCAGGGGTCTGGCCACAAGGGCCTTGAAGACTATGTTATGAAGTTTGGATTTTATTCTAATTACAATAGGAAATCATTGAGACTTTGGAACAGGGAGTGTCAGAGAGACTATGACTGACTGTGATTGCAAACCATATGTTTCTTTCTTTCTTTTCTTTCTTTCTGGTCAAGTTGTGCTAACTTCCTCAGTATTGTGTACTGTCTTTACCCTTTACCAAAGTCACCACTCACCCACTATCTAGTTAGTGTTTTTTCCTCCCTACCCCTCCCCTCCCTCGTAAACATCAAAGATCGTTTCTTGCTGTGTGGAAACATATTCATCTGTTTTTGTAATAGTGATCTCAGAAAGTATTTGTCCTTTTGTGATTGATTTATTTCACTCATCATAATGCCCTTCAGGTTCATTCATGTTGTGAGATGTGGCGCAGAGTCATCATTGTTCTTTATCATTGTGTAGTGTTCCATTGTGTGTATGTACCATCGTTTGTTTATCCATTCATCTGTTGATGGACACTTAGGATGTTTCCATCTTTTTGCTATTGTGAATAACGCGGCAATGACCATGGGTGTGCATATGTCTATTTGTGTGACTGCTTTTATTTCTCTAGGATATATTCCTAGGAGTGGGATTGCTGGATCGTATCGTATTTCTATTTCTAGCTTTTTAAGGAAGCACCATATTGTTTTCCAGAATGGTTGTACCATTTTGCATTCCCACCAGCAGTGCATAAAAGTTCTAGTCTCCTTGTAACCTCTCCAATATTTATTTTCTGGGGTTGTTTTTTGTTTTTTTTTTGATTCGTGACAGTAAGGTCAGGGTGAGATTGTATCTCATTGTAGTTTTGATTTGCGTTTCTCTAAAAGCTAGTGATGGTGAGCATTTCCTCGTGTGTCTTTTAGCTGCCTGAATGTCTTCTTTGGGGAAGTGTGTGTTCATATCCTTTGCCCATTTCATCAAAAGACTTCACCAAAAGACAACCTACAAAAAATTTTTTGGCTGTGACATATTCAACATTATGTTTATATTCTGAAGAGAATGTGTATGGACTGCTACTTAAGCAAGAGATGGATTCATTTAGAAAGCTCAGAAAAGTGCTGTACCTATGTCAGGATGGCAGATGATCAGGTATCTATCCACGGCCACAACGGTGAGTAATCCAATACTTGCCATCCCAAAAAAGATATTTAATCCAGCATAAATCTGAAAGCCAAAATTGGAAAGAATCCACTATTCTAAACACCTTTCCAAGAAACATTTAAATTTTTATTCCATTGGTAGAATATATTTAATGTTTATTTTACTAATTCTAAAATCAATCTTTTTTTGTCAAATTGTAACTGGTTTAATAAAGGCATTTATGGAGTGTTTGGGATTTCATTAATTTAAATAAACCCTTTTTTAAAATATTTTAAGACTGAAGGTGAAACTTCTATTCACAAAAAAAGTCATAAACAGAGTGCAAAAATAAATCATAAAGTAGGTGCAATGCATATAACCAACAAAAGATTAGTAGTGAGAAGATACACAATCAGCAAGAAAAAGAAAACACAAAAATGAGCAGCAAAGGATGAATGGGCTATTTACACAAGAGGAAACCTGAATGTTTCTGATGTAAGAAAAGATTGACAACGACATTAAGTATTCAACGGAGTACAAACTGTAACGACCAGATACAACAGAAGCTCTCAGAATTGGTGTGACTGTTTCGGAGAACAATTTGCCACATCTAATAAAGCTGAAGATGAGCGTTCTGTACAAGCCAACAATCCGTCTCCTAAGAAACCTGGCTAGAGAAACGCTCGCATGTTGAAGGAGGAGACATGCACACGAACATTTATTGAAGCCTTGTTTGTAGCAGAAAAAAACTGGAAGCAAATGCTCAATAATGAGTAAGTTGTGGTATAGTCACACAATGGCATACTATGTAGCAGTTAAAATTAGTAATTTAATACCTACATCCAGCAACATGTATAAACTTCAAAGGCATAGTAAAAAAAAACCCAAACCCACTGCTGTGGAGTCGATTCCGACTCAGCAACTCTACAAGGACCCTATATTGGACAATCAAAAGGAAATTGCATAATACAAACGATATCATGTTATTTACACAAAATTTAAGATATTCAGATAGTGTTACATCTAGTTTATGGGCACATAAATATGAAGTGAAATAGGTAAGTATTCATGGGAAGGAGGGAATAGGATCGGGAGTGATACACAGTGACCTTTAACAGTATCAATAAAGTTTTATATCTTTAAAATTGCTCTTCCCTCTCCTTACATTCTTCTATGACCTGAAGCACATATTGCAGAACTTTAAGATTTGACAAAACTGATAGAAGCATACATGGGTGTCCACTAGTCACTACTACTCTCATTTTATTCTCTATCATTTAATGGCTTGAAATAGTAAATTGTTAAAAAAAAAAAAATTAGGTCAAAAGCCTTATTTGCCTACTATCCTAATGTAAATTAAGATTAACTCATTTCCTTGTCAGTAAAAATAACAGGAAATATATTTAATAACAATTCTCATGGAGAACTTTCCATAAGAAAAAATCAACAATATGGTAGCTTAAGTACATTCCTTAGGAATCTTAAGTCATTATTTTATTATTTCAGATGAAAAGTAGGGTAGTCACTTGAATATGTAAAACTACTTTTTGTCTCTAGGTAAATGCTGGTTGCTTCATTTTTTCCTTTGGGTTGGGGGAATTTTGAAACTATAATGATGCTTAGTGATTTCATTTCTCTTATTAAAGAATATATTTCCCAGTCACTCTCAAAGCTGTTTTCAATAAAAGCGCCACATCTATTATCCTACTATATCTTACTTGATTTAAGCCCTCGGGATTTCTTTAAGACATTTAAATTTACATCTCATTGATCCAGTTTATTTTACTTTAATTCCAAATGTCTCCAATACCTGACATCCTGCATATCCAAACTTCCAACTTCCATGCAGATCTGATGCAGCAGACATGGGGTAGCCAATGCTACTGACCCCTATATCAGTGACAGCCAGGTTTATGATAATTGCATTTGTGGGTGTCCGAAGTTCCTTGTACTTAATGAAGATGCCCAGAACTATTATGTTGCTGAGAATACTTACCATACCTGAGAACAAACAAAAAAAAAATTATTCATTTTGTTTAATTTCAATGTTTAAAAGTAGAATCAAAATAAAATATTAAGCCCCTTCGAAAATAGAGCTAATCCTTTTTTAGTTCATTTATTTGAAGAGGTCCAACTGTTCCTAAAACTATTTATAACACCTTCACAGCCCTTCTGTAAAACAGAAGTAAAGAAATTAAAACACAAAGAACCCACCAATTACCTAAGCCAACACTGAGGGCTGGTTTTAACGTCATCACTTTGATCACTGTTCTTGAAATTCCTCCCTTGGCTTTCATGACATCATCCCTGCTGGTTTTTAGGATACATGTCTGACCACACCCTTTCTTTGATTTCCTCCTACTTCCTGAGCCCTAAGGTTCTTCTTTTTCTACATACTAAAAAAATAATAAACCACACCCGTTGCCGTCAAGTTGATTCCAACTCATAGCAACCCTATAGGACAGCGTGAACTGCCCCATAGGGTTTCCAAGGAGCAGCTGGTGGATTCTAACTGCCGACCTTTTGGTTAGCAGCCCAAAACTATTATTCTGTCCTAACAGCTCTTTTGTCACTATTTCCAGCCGTAAACTCATGCTCCAGTCCTACGACTTCTCTTTTCATTCAACTCATTGCAATTAAACATTCATTAAGCATCTACCACGTGTAAAATCATATGACTGTTCCAATGTTACCTGAAACTCAACATGTCCAAATCTGAATTCTTTATTCAACCCACATATACACACCTAAAAAGAATGCACACTACGAGGTTCAGATATTCAGAGAGGAAGGTGAGCCAGCTTTCTGGCCCATCAAGAAGCCTCACCTAGTCAAGTTCCCAGTCTGGGATCTGACTCTGTCTTGCAGGCCCAGAAACTCAGTGTTGTCGGTGCCCCAGAGTTGGTTGGACTCAAGCAGACTGGTGACTAAACTTATTCATTAGAATGCCAATGTATTTATTTATAATCAGAAATATTGCTGAGTGGACTAGATGTGCATGCTAGCCTGATCAACACGACTTTCTTGGTGAAAAGCATGCATAAGTTTCCCAGAACCCAGGTATGCGTCACACTAGGTCCTAAGGATGAGGGTGAAGCAATTTTAACAGAGAGGTGGATTCCTAGGGGTTAAAGGAGGGTTAAGCAACAAGCAGTAAAGATGTGTTCATCATCAAGAGAATTACTGGTGAGCAATCCCCAGTTATTGTGGAAGACAGAGAGGTTTTCAAGCACCAGTACACAAAACTATCGGCAAAGAACTAACTTCTACTCTATCTTGGTACCTCAGTCAAACTTCCCTTTAACACTGTTAAACTAATCTTCCAGATTCCTGTTCTTCTCCTCCTTCCCCACCCCCACCCCCCACCCCATGCTGCCAGCAGAACAAGCTTGCTACAACATATGAATTCATCGTGGCTCTTCTCAAAACTTCAATACTCCCCCACTGCCTGAGGGATACAAATTCAAATGTCCCAACCTGATATCCCAGGCTTCTTGCCTCAGTCTGTTTTCACCTTTTTAAGCAAATTTCCACACTTGTCAAACCAAGCTTTCCATTCGAGTTATCAAATATAACACACTTGATGTAAATCTTGACTCATTTCTCCCACTTGGAATTCCCTATTCCTTTTTCCTACCTATTCAAATGTTACCCATTCTTCAATGTTCATGTCAAGCCCAATTCTACCCCAAGGCCTTCTCCTACCTACTGTATACTTTCTTCTCTATAAATTCCCAAAGTACTTGCCCATATTATTGTAATGCTGTATTATTTAACTCTTAAATCTTCCTAGTTTTTCCACATAGATTTCAAGATCCTAATGACTTCTATGCTCTTTCAGCATGTAACATATAGCAGATTTGTTTAATAAACCAAAACTAAATAAATCAAAAGCTTGAATACAAAGTATTTCCATGTAATTGTGATGAAATTTTATCTTTAAATAGTGGATTGTTTCTCTTATACAGTAGCAACAATAAAAAACTCAAAAAGAAAACAGAACTTATTCAGTACCTGTCATACAGAGGTACTCAAATGTTGCTTGAATGAATATGTCACTAAAATTTATAAAAATTAACTTAGGAACTCATAATTTCTAATATAAGAATCAGTACTCTGAATCATGGGGAAAACAACTAAGCAATTATAAAGTAATAAGTTTGGTGCATAATGACTTATACTTTTCCCTCTACTTTTGAATGTTTAAAGTTTTTCATAAAATTTCATCCAAAAAAATAATAATCCAATATAACAAAGATAGCTTCCTCAAAGTTCATTACAAGAGCGTAAAGTTGGAAATAAAGCAATTGTTTAGAATAAAAATTACATCACACTTCAACCTAGACACAAAACAGATATTCAAAGAATTTTTATCACTTCTCCTATTCGTTTTTTCTGCAAAGCCTTTATCTAAGTGATTAATCCAATATTTGAATCAATGAGTATGTGTACGTGGGGGAGAAAGAAACAAATATCTGTCACACACCTACTAAACCCAAGGTGCTTTATACGTCAGTTCATTTTACCCTCAAAATGATCATAACAGGTAGCTTATTTTTATCTCACTTAACAGATGAGAAATGGAAGAACAAAAAGATAATTGCCCACAGTTGCAAAGATATAAAAGATGGAATCCAAAGTTCAAGAGTCACATTATATCTTAACATTCTGGAATGAAATGAATTTTCAAACTCTTTCCTCAATGGCAATACACTCTGCTCACTCTCTTTTTAGAATTTTAATTTTCTTTCCAGGACTTTCAGTGTTGGCTAGGTTCTACTACCAAGGACAGAACTATTAAAAAAATGTATACAGTTTAAGAGTAAATATTAAAATACATTGTCCTCATGGTACACACTCTTCCCCAATAAAAACTTGACAATGTAATAATCAAATACATGAATGATATCACAAAAGAATTATCCATTTTGTAGAAAACTTTTCTTAGCCCCATTTCACTGCTCTCATGCTATCAAGACTGAAAATAATTTGTGACATTAACCACCATTAACAGTGCTTTCATTTATTCTTTTACCTACACTCTCTTATTTGATCTTTACAGCCAGAAGCAGACATAGCAAGTAGTAGCATTCTACTTACCACATGAGCAAGCCAACTCAGAAAAGATAAGTGACTCCTCGAGGCTGACCCACAATATGTATCTTAAAACTCTTGGAACCCAAGCTCTGAACCATCCTTCCTACTTCCTTATGCTGAAAATGTTTTCTTCTCCCATTCTAAAGTAACCTAACAGTTAATGGAGTAATTAAACAGCCATACCTGCCATAATCAAGTAAGCTGCAACAATATTTGTGTTCAGTCTGTGAGAAGACTGAGCCATCTTCATTTTTAGAGTCTGAACTGCTGCCCAAATTATTCTTTAGCATTTTGGAGGGAAGATATTGAGACAGCCTTCATAATAAGCCTTCAGTAACTATGAAATGTTTTAACAGCCAGTGAAGGAAGAATTTTCAAGACAAATCAATTCCACTTAGAGACCTCAAAGAATGGCCTTTTCATAGAGGCCTTCCTTTAATAAATTTAATTGGGCTAAAAAGGAAAGCATTTTAATTCCCAGAACAAGGGAAAAGCTTATTAGCAACACACAAAGAAAAATTCCAAGCTCCACTAAATTAAGCATCAGTCATATCTAGGAAGATTATCAAGCCAAAACACCCCCACTGAAACAATAAACAAACTTAGAAAAACAATGCAGGAGCTGCCTTGACTCAACTAATCTCTGCCGGAAATCAGTTCTGAAATTAGGAGCCAACCAGTCTCTAAAACTACTCAGATTAAGCATCCCATTTCCATTGATCCTTTCCAGTTTTTCCATTGCAGCCCCCCCCACCTTTATTTCCTTAACAATTTTAATAGAGATAAATAAGTAATCTCCCTCCCATCCTTCCAATCCTCACTCCCCTAAACTCACGAATAATGTTGGCAATATCCTTTCTTATGATTTCCTTCGTTTATACAAACATATATTCATACAAGGGTTTGAGGTTCACCCTTCTTTTCTTTTAAACAAAAATGGAAATATATACATTTACGGACATATACAATCCTTTGCAACTTGTTTTCCCCTGAAGCCATTTCATAAATTTCAGGTCAATAAACGTTGTTAGGTGCTGTCAAGTCAGTTCCAACTCATAGCGACCCTATGCACCACAGAATAAAACACTGCCGGGTCCAACGCCATGCTATTGTTGCGCTTGAGCCCATTGTTGTAGCCACTGTGTCAATCCATCTCATTGAGGGCTTTCCTCTTTTTTGCTGACCCTCTACTTTACCAAGCATGATGTCCTTCTCCAGGGACTGATTCCTCCTGACAACATATACAAAGTATGTAAGATGTAGTCTCGCCATTCTTCCTTCTAAGGAGCATTCTGGTTGTACTTCTTCCAAGACAGATTTGTCCCTTCTTTTTTGCAGTCTATAGTATATTCAATATTCTTTGCCAACATAATTCAAAGGTGTCAATTCTTCTTCGGTCTTCCTTATTTACTGTCCAGCTTTAGCATGCATATGATGCAATTGAAAATACTATGGCTTGGGTCAGGCGCACCTTAGTCTTCAAGGCGACATCTTTGCTTTTCAACACTTTAAAGGGGTCTTTTGCAGCAGATTTGCCCAATGTAATGCATCTTTTGATTTCTTGACTGCTGCTTCCATGGACGTTGACTGTGGATCCAAGTAAAATGGAATCTTTGACAACTTCAACATTTTCTCCATTTATCATGATGTTGCTTATTGGTCCAGTTTTGAGGACTTTTGTTTTCTTTATGTTGAGGTGTAAACCATACTGATCTTCACCAGTAAGTGCCTCAAGTCCTCTTCACTTTCAGCAAGCAAGGTTGTGTCTTCTGCATAACGCAAGTTATGGAGTCTTCCTCCAATCTTGATGCCCCGTCCTTCTTCATATAACCCAGCTTCTTGGATTTGCTCAGCATAGATTGAATAGGTATGGTGAAAGGATACAACCCTGACGCACACCTTTCCTGACTTTGAACCACGAAGTATCCCCTTGTTCTGTCCGAACCACTGCCTCTTGATCTGTGTACAGGTTCCTCATGAGCACAATTAAGCGTTCTGGAACTTCCTTTCTTCACAATATTATCCATAATTTTGTTATGATCCACACAATCGAATGCCTTTGCATAGTCAATAAAACACAAGTAAACATCTTTCTGGTATTCTCTGCTTTCAGCCAGGATCCATCTGACATCAGCAATGATATCCCTGGCTCCACGTCCTCTTCTGAATCTGGCCTGAGTTTCTGGCAGTTCCCTGTCGACATACTGCTGCAGACACTTTTGAATGATCTTCAGCAAAATTTTACTTGCATGTGGTATTAATGATATTGTTCGATAATTTCCGCATTCGGTTGGATCACCTTTCTTGGGAATAGGCACAGATCTAATAAACATAGGTCTAACTTACTGATAGCATTTCGTACCATGGATAGATCATGATTCCACCATACATCTCAGTTAATTTACTCACAGTTTGATATGCACATGAGTAATTAATATTATCTGATGATGATAATAATCATAACCTGTATCAACAAAGCATCTGGATTCAGTCATTCAACTTGTGAAGTATAGGGTAATTCTAACATTCTGAACTATTTTGTTATAACCTGAAAAATGGGTTCTAATCTAACATGAATGTATATTGTTAGCATACTAAGGTAACCCTAACACTTTTCTTCCCATGCTTCTTTATGCCAGGTAACATAAGAAAATCCGATTCTCCTTGATAGTGAATTTCTTAAAATCAGGAAAAACCTGAAAGGCTAGACGCACAGAAGTTAACATTGTAAGCATACAACAGAACCACTAGAGGGCTATATTTATCCACTTACTTAATTTTGTAACTCTTAGAATGTCAAAGCAGGAAGGGACCTAAGATAATCCTTTTGACCTCAGTTCTCTCACCTGTATATAAACTGAAGAGGTTGAACCAGGTTTGGTGATCAGTCCCAGATCTTGTATCGAACAGTACTCAAATCTTTGTAAAAGAAAAATCATATTCTGAAGAGTATACTATGAAAGTGAATCTCATCAATATGCCAGAAGTATCAAAATATTCTCAAATGACCCTAAAGCAAAAAACATAGTATCAAACAGGAACTCTCCCTTTTAAAAATACATACGTTGTGGGGTTTTCTTTTTTTTTTTTTTTGTACTCAGCATGCAAAATAAAAATTTAAGAAACTTTTTACATGCTTTGGGTCATAATCTTTTCCTTTTCTGTAACAGATCACACAGTTCTACCATTTGTATGGTTGTTATGAGTCGGTATCGACTCAACAGCAATGGGAATATTTGTTTAAATTTGCCATAAACAATTATTTTCGAGAACTGAAGAAAAATAATCCCAAAGATGGTCAGTTCTGTGCTATAGATGCAGGTTTTACAGATGAGTAGAACAGGGACATGCAATGTGCTTTCTCATGCCTTCTCCACGGTACCGAAAAAACTCAACACTCATTGCTGTCAAGTCGATTCCGACTCATAGCGACCCTACAGGACAGAGCAGAACTGCTCCATACAAAAAAGCTATTTTGAGATGTGGCTTAGAAATACTAAGAAATGTAACTATATAAGCATATTTTAATGTTTGTATGGCCACAGTGCTTTAATTTCCCATCTCTCCTCAGTGGGCCGACGGCCAATCCAATTTTTCAGAAATACCAGGAAATACTAATGTTGTTATTCCACCGAACTGTCTCGTTGCCATGGCAGCAAGTGCTTCTTAACATGAGGTAGGGACTCAGAATATTAATCAGTTATCAACTCAGAAGATTTAAAACGTGAATAATCATCAAAGTCATCTTCACAATGGAACTCAGTGATAGTTACCACAATACCAAATTCATTAATGCAAGGTTCCTAAAAAGAGGAACTTGACTCAATACTACTGCCCCGAGGAAACTCAGAAAGAACCACTATGATGAAGAAAAAGAAAAAGAAGACGTGGAAACAGAAATTTAAAGAGACCAATGACCCAAGATGTATCTAAGGACAAAGGTACAAACTCCAAGTGATTTGTCTATCCATTGCCATTTTAGATTTTTTTGAAAATGTTAAAAAAAAAAAAAAGTTTGGGAATGTTGCACTATTATTTGTCTTTGGGATAATGTCCATCACCCCTCTGGTGCACATATAACAAAAAAATAATAAATTACCTTTTACAAACCAAGAATAAAAACCCTGCCCCGTCATTGAAAATGTCATCCCACATATTCTGAAATAAACACCCCCTCCCTTTCCTAGGGTATAAAAACACAACCACTTCTCCCTGTGTTAGAGTAATTCTCACCATGCTGCTCAAATAAGCACTGAAGAATGAGGGACGGTATACTAAAAAACTTAACAACGGAAACAGCATTCCTTCTGAGGAATAACATGTGCAGGGGGAAAAACAGTCAATGGAGGGTAGACAACATATCAGGGTATTCTAAACTGCATTATTTCTTAAGCCTCTAAAACTACACTAACAATAGTGACCAAAACTAATTTCATTTGTAACATCACAGCCCAGGAATCTGAACATGTAGTAGGCAATCCAATCTTAATTACGGAAAATAACATCTTAAGCCTTTAGAGTTACTTTTTTTAAAAGGTAAAAGAGTATTCAGTAAAAACTTTCAATATTCTATCTACATTGAATGAAAAAAATTAAGCATTTCCTCAGAAATTTCTTGAATTGTGGTTCTCATCTGAACAGAATGCTCGACTTTCATAGATTAATATTACCAACATTCTCTAATCAACGACTAACTGCACTTAGAAAACCACTTTTCTAACTCATGTACGATGTACTATGTAATATGTATTGTGCATTAATATACAAAAGACAAATACAACAAACGGTACCAAGTTTTGTCATATACAAAAGAAGGTGTTAATTCACAAATAATGTTAACTTTTAAGTATTACTACTACAGTAGTCTATTTGAAAAGGTCCATAACAGATGTCTGCAGTCTACTGGATGTAAGCTTTATTTGTTCCTTCCAGAGTGAAAAAACAGACTAGGTTTTATAAACACAGCTCTAAATAACTTAAAGGAATAAAAAACTTTATTCTAAAAATTCAAATAGGCGTCAAAAGAAAACTCCTGTCCCTTTCCTAAGCATCCAGAGCACAAGACATCACATAAAAGACTGAGTTCATGCTCTTTTAGAGCGAGAGTAACCACTCGATTGCCCTCATTTCTGCATGATGTTGGCACTGTAATTCCACCCTCATAGAATGACCGGTTCTTCCACACTTGCTTAAGAAACAAGCAGAAGGAGATCATGCAGGTTAATGAAGAAGTCAAACGGTGAAGTCTGTCTGTCCACTGTTACACTTAATGTCCTCTCCCTGTTTAAGAGAAAATTAAAGTATTAAGAGGGTAGAAAAATAATTTTTAAGGCACTGTTATCCTAGTCTCAAGTTTAAAATCAGCATTAGTTCCTATCATGTTAAGCAAATCTACTTATATCAAATTCAACCAACACTCATACTATCTTTTTTATTTTTTAAAATTACCTTTTAATAAAATATTTTGCATGATTCAAATTATCATTTCTGAAACGATCACCTGGTATACAAAATGTAATAAAAATAGTAAAACAAAAATAAATAGTAAGGAGTGGGGTTTATAAACCTAATCAATTCTGTGACAGATATTAATATTTTAGTTTTTAAAAGACTAAGGTGACCTCAACGTATACAAAAAACATAGCAAACTCTGTGATAAGAGATTACCTCCTATCTAGACCCAAACAGCCCAGATTAGAAGTAGGTGAAAAAAATAAAATAAATACAACAAAAAAAGGGAAAAGCAAGAAAGAGTGATATAAAATGAAGTCATAAATTAGGTGAAAGCTAGGGACAACACAATGTTCTATATACTTCCTGGCAGAGAGAAACAACCAGCATTAATTAGTAAAAACAGAAAATGGTAACAGAAAATGGTAGACAATACCAATTATAAAATTCAGTCATTTAAAGACTTTTTCCACACTCACCTCTGAAACCACCACCCCCTCTTCCTCCTCGGAAGCCTCCACCTCCTCCTCTTCCTCCTCTAAAACCTAAAAAAAAGGAAATCTGCATAAAACTACAGCGTATCATTCTGATAAACCTACAGAGATCAATACAATGGCTATAATTATAAAGATTAAGAAATACTGATTCTCATATTTTACCCTGCAGAATTTTTTAAAAGAGCAACACAGAGAAACTATAGTAGTTGCCTGGACTAAGCACGTATTCTGTTGGAATGAATTAGAAAAGCTTGTTACAGTAAAATTTGGTTTAGACCTGTTGCTAAATGCATGTCTACTTCAGCTTTTGCTCATGATAAAAAATTTTGGATTGAACTATGGATGAAGGCTTTTATCCTAAGAAGCGAGAGTGGCAGATATGGTGGGTTTTGCTCTAGGAATACTATAATAAATGTTTAAGGCCAATTGAGCTGCATATGGACCATAGCTGATGCTCACATAGTGATGATCCTGGAAATTTTTAAATTTCTTAAGCATTTTTCTATTATCCAACACATGTCTGACGTCCTATTTTTCGGTCTCCATTTTTACTTATTTTGGGTGTTAATTTTATAAAGAATGCCTGAATCATAAAAAGGGGAAAAGTAAAAATATACTCCTAAAATGCTGGTATAAAAATATACAATAAGGTTTTAAGAGAATAGAGTTGTGTGTTTTTTTGGAAAAACGTAAAGTATGAGACTGACTACAGAATGGGAATGAGGCGATCTCCAGTCATCACATTCTCCTGGGGTACCTTCTGAAAAGGAACCCTGGTGACGCAACGGTTAAGTGCTCGGCTGCAAACTGAAAAGGTCCGCAGTTTGAACCCATCAGCAGCTCAGCGGGAAAGAAGACCTTCTGATCCACTCCCATAAGATTACAGCCTACGATACTCTATGGGACAGTTCTACTCTGTCACACTGGATCACTATGAGCTGGAATCGATGGCACACAACACTACTCTCCAAATAAATTTAAAAGGAATACGTTCAAATCTTTTTAAGAGACTATCTCCTATCTAGACCCAAATAACTGCATATACAGGGTGAAATGATAATTGAGAGAAGCAAAGATGAAAACAGGGTTTCCTCTTCTCTGATCGAGCTACAGAAGCTGTTTGAGCCCAAGTTTCATCCTCTCCCTCGTCACTTTAGCTCTGCCCATCATCCTGTCAGTCACTCATCACACTATTCACAGATCTAAGCACAACGAACGCTACAACCCCACCTCACCTCCAAGCCTGCTCATTATCTATCTGCCCTTAACAGTGAATATGCCAGAGCCTTGGGGAAATACATATATCAAAATACTGAAATCACAGCACAAATGTCATTGGTAATATTCCTTGACATGACATCAGAAGACATGAGCTTCAATTCTGGGTCTGCCAATTATTTGATTAAGGAAAATTAACTTCCGTAAGCCTGTTTCCTAATCCGCAAAATAAGGGTAGTATCAGCTACCTCACAAGGTTTCGCTGAGTATTAAAAGAGGGTGGGCATTAAAAATATATATGACCGGATCTCAGCACACAAGCAACACTCACCCACATTAACTAAGTAAGTAAAATTCTGTTAAGATAGTCTTATATTTTATTAAAATGCCCAACAAAACATGAATACCCTAAAGAGATGAAACCCCTGAAAAGTATACTTTATTAGAGCCTTTCTTTTTAAATAAGTGGTTGAAGCTAAGCATTACCACTATGGGCAATCTGCCAAGATATGAACGTAGTTTTACTAAAAAGAAATAAATTTAAGGGGTGTTTCACCTATATACAAAATTAAATTGTACTACAGTCTTCCTTAATTCTAAAACGTAAGGGGAAATGAACTACCTGTGATTTTGAAATCTCATTAGAAATTTTCCCCAACAAGCAACTTACCGCCTCTCCCCCCGCCTCTGCCACCTCCGCCTCTTCCTCCTCCGCGACCTCCCCTGCCACCGCCTCTTGGAGGTCCTTTCTCACCTGGAGGCCGAGGTAAAAACCTCTGCAGTGGCAGCAGCTTAAATGGATCTATATAAAACTGGAAAGATAATAGAAGCAACTAGCATGATCACTTAGGGGACAGTATAGTGTAATCAAAAACCTTGATGTAAAGACTGCCTGGGTGCAAATCCCAACTCTACCACTTATTACTGTGCAGCCCTAGGCAAGGACTTAATTATTTTGAGCCTTAATTTTCTCATCTGTAAAATCAAGATAATAAAATACCTACCTCACATAGTTATTATGAGAAACAAGAGTAATAGTGTATACAAAACTTACGTTTTGGCACACAATAAACATTACATGCATATAAATTAAAGCCAAGACCAATTCAACCTCTTTTTCTCCATAATGCCTTCCAAAATTTAACTACGTTCTCCTCCCTGCCATAAGAAAAACTATTAAAAATTTAACATTAAAATGCAAAATAAAGCACTGACATACTAACTATTCCAAGACTTTAATAAAGAATAAATCAATAAAATACTGAACATACAACGTAACCGAGGATACAGTTACAGAAGATTTTTCACAATAATGAACTGTCAGGGGGTAGACTGTTTCAGTTCTTCTACACAGAAGACTCGTAGAGGACTTCCAAACCATAATACAGTTACTTAAAACAGTATATGTGTATCCCTGTCTACCTTCTCATTCTTCTTCCCTTCACAGCTAATCTTCTCAAGTATGCTACTGTATTTACACTGTCCAATACCACAGCCTAAAATTAGCCACAAGCAGCTATTTAAATTTAAATCAACAATTAAAAAGTCAACTCCTGAGTCACGCTAGAGCAACATTTCAGATGCTCAACAGCTACATGTGGCTAGTGGCTACTGTACTGGACAGGAATTTCCATCAACGCCGAAAGTTCGACTGGACAGCATTCATATAGAAACTATTATAATAACCCAGGCTAGATAAGGAGGGCCTAAACTTGAACACATCAGTGGATCTGGAAATGGGGAGAACCTGATGCACTGAACTTAGCACCCAGAGAGAAGTAGGGCTCCTCCTTGACTTCAACAGCCAATCAATTACCAAGTCCTGTCAATTTTATGAAGCAGCCCTGGTGGTGCAGTGGTTAAGCTCTCAGCTGCTAACTGAAAGGTAAGCGGTTCAAACCCACCAGCGGCTCTGCAGGAGAAAGACGTGGCAGTCTGCTTCCATAAAGATTACAGCCTTAGACACCCCACGGGTTAGTTCTATTCCGTCCTTTAGGGTCGCTATAGGTCAGAATTGACTCAGTGGCAACTGGTATCAGTTCTACTTCCTATAGATCTCATTTTTGCATTTCCACTGTCCCTTTTTTCCACTTCTAGTGTCACTACCCTAGCCCAAAACGCCAGGTCTCCTACCTGGCCCTTTCATAAATAATGACTCCTTGCCAGACTGCTCATTTCTCCCCCAGGATTCTCTTTTTATGGATAAATTTAACCATATTTATCCAGTTATTCAAAAACTAAACAAACTTTAAAGTGTAAACTCTTTCCCACAAACTAAAAGGCTAAGTGATCTAGCCCCTGCCTACCTCTTCAGTCTCGATTTACAACTTTCCCTACCCCTTCTAAATGTGCTATGCTCAAGCCATATGTCTGCCTTCTTTTGGATCCTTAAAAGTTGCTTCCTGCCCCTGAGATTTTGCACAGACTGTTCTCTCTACTTGGAATGCCCTTCTTCCTCTGCTTTCACTAGCTCAGTGGTTTCCAAGAGCTAGCCTAATTACATCAAAATCATCTAGAAGCTTTTTTTTTTTTAATTGACTCCTAGGCCCAACCTAATGCCTACTAAGTAAATTTCTAGGAGTGGGACCATATAATTCTAATGTGCAACCAGATTTGGGAATCACTCCTAGTCAACTTTCAGGTTTCAGCTTCAAGCTTACATCCTCAGGGAAACCAATAAGCAAGACTGACTTTGATCCTACTGCTAACATTCTCATAGAAACCTGTATTTCTTCTTCTAACTGAAGATTGATATTTGGTCATCCAAGCTTTTTAAATAAGAGTTTTTCATAAACTAAAAAAAAAAAAAAAAAAAAAAAACCAGCAGTTACAGAATTTGCTAATATGAGCACGGAATACTTTCTGAAAGGCTGTATTAAAGAAATTACCTGGAAAACTAAGTTCACTGTTTGAAGTACAGAACATATCAGTTGAAGAGCTTCACTAGTGATATATTTAAACTGGGGGCATCCCAGTGCCTCAGGTAGGACTGTCATAGGGGTAGGTCATTCACTTTTTAAAATAAAGCATTATAAGTATCATCAACTTCACTCACCTTCTGTAGTTTTTTAAAGGAAGATGCCTTCATGTTTTCTGACAATTTAACTGAAAAATACTATTAATTGTATTAAGGAGCAAATAAGATCAAAGTATCAAACCTTCTGAATTCAAATTTTAAAAACAAGACTATAATACAGACAAGAGGTAAGAAACATGCTGGAATGCCCAAGAGAAAACGGAAAACAAAAACCTTCCAATTCTCCCATACTAACCCTGGTGGTGCAGTGATTAAGAGCTACAGCTGCTAACCAAAAGGTTGGCAGTTCAAATCCACCAGGCGCTCCTTGAAAGCTCTGTAAGGCAGTTCTACTCTGTCCTACAGGGTCACCGTGAGTTGGAATCAACTTGACAGCAACGCCCCCCCACCCCCCGGCGGCACATCATATCCAAAGCAAAACCTCAATCCTATAGCACTTATCCAAAAAGTGCCAGAACTTTCTCCCTCCAAAAGAAGTCACTTTTCCAAGGCCATCACGTCAATATATATTGATGCTTACATTCTCACTCATGATTCTCCTTTACGGTCCCATCTGTAATAGTAATTATTCTGTAAAATATAATCAGGCAGCAAGTTTAATTTACTCAATACTTAATCACCTCAGAAAACGCAAGTTAATAACTTCTCAATGAGCTCACTAGGTCTTCCAATTAAAAAGGATACAAAGTCTCTAAGCTGTCCAAATATTTCATCCACTTTTCCAATTTGTTCTTTGTTTTCTAAATACACAGGGGCATTGAAGTAAGGCACCTTATTTTCATCTGTGACACATTTACAAACGATGTCATCTTCACAGGGGTGCATGAACTCTCCTAACACTGAGATAAGACAAGCGATTAATATATAAAGCTATTTCAAATGATACTGACCAACCTCTTCCGAAGGCTTTCTTCTTGGCTTCCTGGGATGTCACCGTAACTGTTATCGTCTAAGCCAGAAGATAACAATGAGAGTACAGACTCTGGAATCAGACTTCCTGGGCTGGTATACCAACTCCACGATGCTCTAGCTATGTGAGCTAAGTTACTCACTGTCTGCTTCAGTGTCTCCATCTTTATTTAAAATGGGGCTAACAACAGTACCTCCATCTAATGTATGGTATTGCAAGAATTAAGCGGAATTATTGTCGCTTTACTGCTTTATAATCACTATTATTATTTGATTACCACACTTCATTCTCCTGACTTCTCTTCCTTCTCTCCTATCCCTAACTACGAATCAGTCTTTCTCTGTTAACTTTCTTTCCTCCTCCCTTAGAATGTACCCGTTTCTACTACCACCTCTGCACCAATGACTCTTCAATTGTTCAAGAATGTCTGGAATTTTAAATCACTCCTTTTATTGGCTGAAAGCAGAGAATACCAGAAAGATGTTTACTTCTGTTTTATTGACTATGCAAAGGCATTTGACTGTGTGGATCGTAACAAATTATAGATAACACTGCAAAGAATAGGAATTCCAGAACATATAACTGTGTTCACGTAGAACCTGTACATAGACCAAAAGGCAGTCGTTCAAACAGAACAAGGGGATTCTGCGTAGTTTAAAATCAGGAAAGGTGTGCATCAAGGTTGTAGCCTTTCACCATACTTATTCAATCTGTTTGCTGAGCAAATAATCTGAGAAACTGGACTATATGAAGAACAGGGTATCAGGATTGGAGGAAGACTCATTAACAACTTGCAATATGCAGATGACACAACCTTGCTTGCTGAAAGCCAAGAGGACTTGAAGCACTTACTGATGAAGATCAAAGACTACAGCCCTCAGTATGGATTACACAATATAAAGAGAAAAATCCTCACTATTGGACCAATAAACAACATCATGACAAACGGAGAAAAGACTGAAGTTGTCAAGGATTTCATTTTACTTGGCTCCACAATCCACACTCATGGAAGCAGCAGTCAAGAAAATCAAACAATGTATTGCATTATGCAAATCTGCTGCAAAAGACCTCTTTAAAGTGTTAAAAAGCAAAGATGTCACCTTGAGGAATAAGGTGACGGTATTTTCAACTGCCTCATACGCATGTGAAACCTAGACAATGAATAAAGAAGACCAAAGAAGAGCTGACACATTGGAGTTATAGTGTTGGTGAAGAATATTGAATACACCATGGACGGCCAGAAGAACAAACAAAACTGTCTTGGAAGTACTACAGCCAGAATGCTCCTTAGAAGCAAGGATGGCGAGATTTTGTCTCAGGTACTTTAGACATGTTATCAGGAGGGACCAGTACCTGGAGAAGGACATCATACTTGGTAAAATAGACAGTGATTAAAAAAGAGGAAGACCTTCAATGAGATGGCTGCAACAATGGGCTCAAGCATAGCAACGACTGAGTACGGCGCAGGACTGGGCAGTAATTCGCACTGTTGCACAAAGGATCGCTATGAGTCGCAACCAACTCCAGGGCACCTAGCAATAACTCTTCCTTTCGATTAAAGCTCAAGTTCCACTACTAGGATGCATTCTAAGTGTCGTTCACCTTCTTGCTCTCCCCCTCACATGCTACAGAATGACTGTAAATCAGTTTACAGCATTATTCACTAACAGACTTGTCTCCCCAACGAAGGAGAAAACGCCCTATGGATCTACCCTTCAGCACCTGACTCGAAGTCAAACTTACTAACGACACAAACCCCAACCCCCAAGGAAACCACCCTTCAAAGCTGACATACAAACTACACGTTCCGGAGGCCCTTGGTCTTGGAATTTGTTAAAGCCTCCACGGCCACCGCCTCGTCCAAATCCGCCTCTGCCGCCACCGCCGCCTCTAAAATTGCCGCCGCCTCCACCTCTGAAACTGCCGCTGCCTCCACCTCGGAAATGGTTGCTGCTGCCGCCGCCACCGCCGCGATTGAAGCCGCCACCTCCACCACCTCGATTAAAGCCTCCACGACCTCCGCCTCGAAAAGACATGCTCTCTCCTACCTGGTAAGAAAAACGGTAAGTGCCTTCAGGTCACTGTGGCCTCTGGTTACACCACCTAACTCCTCTGACCCTCGGTCAAAATCATAAAAGGGGACAGTGATCACTGCCAACCCTGCCACCCCACTCACGGCCAAGGTACCTGTGACGAACCCGAGGAGTCAGGACTGGTACCTCTCCATGGACCTTTGCGCGCCGACCACTTAACAACTTCGCCGCCCCAGGGTTAGTACCTCCTCCCCCAGCCGGCAGCAAGGTTTTCACGCCACATTCCCTTCCTTCCTCCCTCCCTGGCTGCGTTCCATATCCAGAATGCTCAGATATTCGGGCTTCCTAGGGACACTCACCGGCGCCACGTGCACCTCTGGCGCGGACCGTGCCCGCACACCCACTCGCCCGGTACTTCCGCCGCCCGCGAGCCTCCTCGGCCACCGTACCGGCGCGGGGGGGGGCGGGGAGGGAAGACGCCCCGACCGGAGCCTGGAATAACTGACTAGCCAAAAGGAGCCAGTCACTAGCAGACAGCGACGATATCACCTTTCTAAAACAGGCTTCATCACTGGAAAAGTAGGAGTGATGTCAAGCTTCAAACACTAATTTACAACAATTAGGTCAACTTGCCTACCGACGAGTCAAGGAAGTGACGTACGGCAGCAGCGTCCTTTGCATCATTACAGGAAGTGCCGGCGCGTTGTTGCCCTTGGAGATGGCTGGCGTTAGGGATCCGCCCCCTCTTCTAGGAGCCAGGAGGATGCCTGTTGGGAGCAGGATCGCTTCTACGGTCTGTGCGGAGTGGCCGCGTGCTGTAGCTTCTCCGGCTGTTAAATAATCCCCAGCCTCGCTCTTCACTTCATTGCCAGCTCCAGCAACTGTCCCGCCACAGCTCTGAGGAGTGCTGATCCGCGTTCTGCCCAGAGGTGAATCTGGCCGCGTCGGAACGTGTCACAGCCAGTGGACGAGCTTTTCTGTGTTCTTTGCTCCGGAATTCCTTGTTTCTTGCCGTTCTTTTGAACTATGCGCCATTGTGGGCTGAACTGTTCCTGTCCTTTTGTCCTGTGGTTTTCAGTAGTAGAAGGAAGAAAAACAATGCGTGTGTACGTATATATGTGTGTGTTTACAGAAAGTACATTATCTGATAGAAAGGCAAAACTTTTTTTTTTTGTACCAGATAGTTTATTCATGCGTCAAGTAGTTTTTGAGCGTAGATCTGGTGCCAGGCTGGGCCCCAGTCTGTACTGGCTGCCCCTCACCCCTTCCCTCCTTAAACCTTCACTAGATCTGTCTTCGGCTTCCCTCCACCTGCTAAAACTTCTCTCCCAAAGACAGCTTGTATAATGCCCGATTAGTTAACTTTGATTGGATTATTTTACACCCGACTTCTCTGCGACCTTTTCTTGATATTTGACACTGTTGACCGTCCCTTCTTTGAAGAAGAATAGGGATTGGTACCTATTTCCGAGGGTTATTACAAGTTTAAATGAGATTTTGAAAGAACTTTGCAAACTCCACTATAGAAATGTTAGAAATTACCGTATGTCTTCTACACCAAAGTAAAAATTCTTTGAGAGATACCTAACAGTTCTGTATATAAAATGAATTGGATGAACGTAGCTTTAATTCAGATTTGATAAATATACTTTAAATTCTGTCATACAGAAGTAGAATTACTCATAGCTGCCATGCTGTTCTGCTTTTATGTCACTTAAGTTCAGTCTTTTATCTCCTTTTGGTGTCCCATTACTATCTCCAACTCAGTATGATGAAATCATTGAACTTTTGTGGGACCTTCAAGATCACCTGGTGCCTAGCCTAACCTCTTTATTCTACAAGTAAGGAAATGACATTTGAAGAAGCAAAGTAACTTCCCCAGATAGTTAAAAAGACAAACTTGAAATGGTTCTCACAGTCCTCAGTTCTCTCTGCCCATCCCCCTTTCCTCCTGCCAAAATGTTCATCTTTCCAGTTCTCTATTTGTCTTCATGATACAGTCATACTCTTGTTTTCTAAATATTTGGACTCAAACCTTTCAGCACTCTCCTCCTTCCCTACCATCACTATTCACCATCCACAATCCAGTCTTTTATCCGAAACTATCAATTTCTATTCTTTCTAAGGTAGCTTTGTACTGTCATCAACCTATTATAGGCCTCCTGTTGTCACTGCCAAATTTTCTTGTGTTATTTCTACCCTAGATCACCCAATATATGGTATAAGAATTCAGAAGTCTAGAAATAATAACAGTGAATCACAACATCCCCTCACATTTTGAGCAGCTTGTTTGCCTCAAACTAGATGCTTTCAGGCAACACTCTTCTTCTTGTCATCTATACTGCATATGATGACCTACTGAACTTTCCAAATCAGTTCCCTCATGCCATACCCATCCTCAGGACCCAAAACAGCTCCCTGTTTCCTTTAGCATCAAGTCTGAAGTAACATCTCTACTTTCTATATAATTTGTATATAAAACTTTATATAATTGTATTTCCCTCCTATGTTATACACCATCCCTGTGGTCCAAGCAGCCAGCATCATTCCATCAGACAGCCTTTATGCCTTACATCTTGTGTTATCCCTTTGTCAAACACCTACTCTTGCTTGGAAAGCTCCATCTCCCATCCACTAGACGAGCCTTTTTCTTTTTACCCTAGAGGGACCCTAAAAATAATTTTCATGTCTCGGGAACCCCTGCATAAAAATTATTATATATACAGCTCACAGTATGTTAACATGATCAACAAGTTGTAAACAAAAAACCAGCAGCTGTCCAGGCGATTTCGCCGTGGCAACCCTGTGTGTGTCAGGAGTAGAACTGTGCTCCACAATCCAACAATAACTGTCGATCCTCTTTTGAGTAAAGAATGATGTTTTTCTATGAATCTGTTTATTTTTGCCCAGCTTCTTAGTCTACTCTGTGTAGCTTTCCCTCCTCACAAAGGATGTCAACTCTAATGCGAATTAAGTGAGAAATGAAACTTAGTTTTTCCTTAAAAAAAAAAAAAAAAAATGAAATTTTTAAATTTTATCCAAATAGGCCTAAAAGTACTGTCACAAATTCTACTATATAAGATGCTAATGATGTATGGTATGTGGTATATGATATGTGCAGAAGTAGGTTTTTCCCTCTGTTTAAAACTAAAGATGACTTTCCAGCCAAACTTTCTTGAGAGGGAAAAAAAAAACACAGGTTAAGCTTAGCTTACCTTTCTTGAGATTAGTCTCTTTCCTTTTCATAAACTATAAAAATTTATATGGCAAACATCATAATTTTCTGTTAAGTAACTGGCTTCAGGCAAAATGGATTTTAATTTTTTTTAAAGGTAGGCTCAGTAGATCTAATTTAGTAAAGGCTTCAAATTGATTTTTATTAATGTTGTTTACAACATGAAAATGTATTAAGAATGTGGAATAGTAAAGCTGCTAAAACCACAAACCAAAGCAATAGTAAAAATATAGCCCAAGACTTAATTTTACTTAAGACTTTGAAAATACATTTTCTTGAGTGACTTGATCAGACTCACATATAGGCCTGTTGTTGTTAGGTTCCATTGAGTTGATTTTGACTCCTAGCAACCCCATGTGATGGAGTAGAACTGCCCCATAGGGTTTGCTGGCTGTAATCTTTATGGGAGCAGATCACCAGGTCTTTATCCTGCAGAGCTGCTGAGTGGGTTTGAACCACCAGACTTTGAGTTAGCAGTCGAATGTTTAATTGCACCACCAAGGCTCCTAAATGTAGGCCTGGCAGTTATAAAATTATGCACATGTGTTGGTTTCTTGATCTCTTTTTATAGGCCTGTATATGCATGAGTGTTATTTTTTAGACTGAAAATACTGAAATTTACCTATTTAGTGTGAAACCTTTGCTTATCTTTTGCTGCATAGATGCTCAATTCTGAGTCAAACTTGAGATTGGCACACACAGATTTTATTTTCAACTGATATGAAATGATTTCTGTCTTTGCTTTTTTCCTTAGACAAGAAAATTTTGCTCACATAAGGGAGAAGTCAAAAAGTACAGTATAACATGTATTTGTGTTCCTGTTAATTTCTTTCACTGAAATCCAGAACTTGTAGAAAGACAGATCAGTACATTTCATCTTATGTTTATACGATCAGAGAATAATTCTTCCTCTTCTCTCAGATTTTCAGGCTGGGAAGAAGATTCAGAGAAAGAAGTCCTTGTCCAATCATATACTTCTGTTGAAAGGGAAGGAAAATACTGTTTAATTTTGTTCTCCAATTCCCCTAGGTGGTCTTCAGTAACACTTGAGACTTCTCAAGGGCCACATAAATCAGAGACTTCATCAGCCTGAGACCAGAGGAACTAGATGGTGCCCGGCTACCACAATGACCTCCCTGACAGGGAACACAACAGAGAGTCCCTGATGGAGCAGGAGAAAGGTAGGGTGCAGAACTCAAATTCTAGTAAAAAGACCAGACTTAATGGTTTGATTGAGACTAGAGAGACCCCAGAAGACATGGCCCCCAGACTCTGTTAGCCAAAAACTAAAACCATTCCTGAGGCCAACTCTTCAGACGTAGATTAGACTGGACTATGGGACATAAAATGATACCCATGAAGAGTGTGCTTCTTAGCTTAAGTAGATACATGAGGCTAAATGGGCAGCTCCTTTCCAGAGGCGAGATGAAAAGGCAGAGGGTCAGGAGCTGGTTGAATGGACGTGGGAAATGAGGGGTGGAAAGGAAGAGTGTGCCGTCACAGTAAAGGGAGAGCAACCAGGGTCACATAACAATGTATGTATACATTTTTGTATGAGAGACTAACTTGAATTGTAAACTTCCACTTAAAGCACAACAATAAATTAAAAAAAAAAAGAAAAGACTTGAGACTTCTCACTTTCAAGTCTAAGCAGCAGTGGAAACATTGCAAGATTTCCTTTTGCAATATGATTTTTCTGAAGACTCAATTTCCATTTAATCCCAAGAATCTTATCACTTGAAGTAAAAATATTTTTTCTGTCTTCAAGTAGTTCATGTGATAAAAAATGTCTACTAGGTAAGCTAGTTTCTGCAGCCACCTTCAACGTCAAAGCACTTGACAAAATTTGGCCTACTATTTTATTGAAAGTACTCCTAACAGTTCACCTTTCAGCTGAAACATCCTGCTAAGAACCAAAATCAGTATC